AATCCCAATTTTTAATCAATATATAGACAATTAGAGAGGTAAGGATAGCTTCTAACATCAAAGGTAATGAAATAAATAGAAAAAACAATTTGGAGAAAATAGAAACCATGCAGGGTGAGGGAAAGGCAAATATACTCAGGTAAGTAAGAAAAAATACTGGAAGTTTGAAACTGTAAGGATGCTATTTTTAAAGAAAGAGGAACAGAACAAAAGTCTTAAACATTAAAAGCACAATAGCTAAAATGAAAGACAGTTGTTTGTAGAAATAGTTGCAGAAGTAAAGTAAAAACAAGAGGATGGAAAATAGAAGAGAGGGGCGCCTGGGTGGCTCAGATGGTTAAGCATCTGCCTTCGGCTCAGGTCATGATCCCGGGGTCCTGGGATCGAGTCCCACATCGGGCTCCCTGCTCAGCAGGGAGTCTGCTTCTCCCTCTGACCCTCTTCCCTCTCATGCTCTCTCTCATTCTCTCCCTCTCAAATAAAATCTTTAAAAAAAAAAGAAAATAGAAGAGAAAATACAGATAGAGAATTAGGCCAAAAGTTTTAGAAATAGATAAGGAGACCATTGCTAAATAACTTTAAGTATCACAGAACTAAAGTACATAATTTTGCATGACTGGGTCTGTCAAATGCCTAGCCTAATTGAAAATAGACCCAGATCATGGCACATCTGTTTGAAATTTTAAAATAGGGTGAAGAACATCTTATAAACTTAGAGGACAAAAAGTTGCATACAAGAAACTGTGACTATGTGGACATTAGATGTCTCAAAACACTGGCAGCCAGAAGAAAATAAAGTGCTGCCTTCAAAAATTGGAGGGAAAATTATTTCCAATATAGAATTCTATACCAAATCAAACTGTCAAACAAGTGTGAAGTTATAATAAAGACATTATCAAACATGAACATCTCAGAAATTTAATAACCCACATACCTTTCTGGAAGCCACTGGAAAATGTGTTCAACCAAAGCAAAGGATTTAAATTAAGAAAGAAGACTACATAGAAATCAGGAGACAAGAGATCCAACAGGAAAAGAAGAATTCCTAGTAGGATGGTGACATGAGAGCCCCAAATGGCCTGTTCTCAAAGACCAACTAGTCCAGATTGGAACAAGTCAGAGGCTGCTAGAGTTGGGGTTAGGGTAATTCTTGGAGGAGATGAAATTGATTGATTACCTAAAGTGAGCTTCTTAAGAGAAGATCAGACAGCTGATCAACAGTTTGGAGTTTGGAGCTGAATTAATGATAAGTACATAGAAAACTAAGCAAATGAAAAAAAAAATCCCAGAGGAACAAAAAATAATTCTAGGGAGAATGAAATACTCTATTATTAAAACACTAATTACTGATATAACCAAAATTATAATAATTATATTGAGAAGGTGAAGGCTTTGGTAGGGGGGAAATAAGAGAAAGCTAAGGCCTAATTGTTTATATTGGAAAGTCAATCAAAAATACTTAAAATTAAAAAATCAAAAAGTGTCAATACAAATATGTTATTTAAAAATATGGAGGTAAATACCAATGACTTAGCTAAAAGAGCTTTATGTGCTTGGCTTCTGAGACAGAAAAATGGGAGAAGGAGACTGGATTCTTCTGGTAATATAAGTATTAAAACTAAGTATCTCTAAGCTCATATATAATTTTGATAAAAATAACTTTAGACGTACCTGGGTGTCTCAGTTGGTTGAACATTTGCCTTCAGCTCGGGTCATGATCCAGCTATCCCAGGATCCAGCCCTCCTGAATCAGGCTTCCTGCTCAGCAGGGGGTCTCCTCCCTCTGACCCTCCCTACTCTTGTGTTCTCTCTCTCACTCTATATCTCTAAAATAAATAAATAAAATCTAAAAAAAAACTTTAGAAAATGAAGGTTCTTGCTAAGGGTGTGTTAAGCATCCATGACATTTGATTCAAATCATACTTCATGCTGCCTTTTCTCTGTATCCACCTGCAGGATAAATACAGATCTTGTTCTTTAACATGTGTATTAATCATAATGCATTGTTTCCTTGTGGTAGCAAATGGCCTGAATTACTTAGCAGGATTGATTTGGTTTTAGTTTATTAAGTGTTTGAAGGTGTAAAATATGGATTGGAAAAAAGAACACAAACACTATTATTTAAAAAAAAAAACGAGCACATAGGTAAATGTTGATGTCTACCTACTTATGATTTTATGTTACTGAAATTCTTTCCATTTGAAGAACTGTCTGAAGCAAAGGAGCAACCAGCAGTGCTCAGGACTTAAATCTAGATCCCTCTTTATATCAAACTCACTTTATAGGGTAAGGTGTGCTGATGTGTAGAATATGATCTCTGAGGGTTTAGGTAGCTTATTGGAAAAGACACTCCACTCCTACTTCTTTTTTATGGCACAAAGGAATGATAAAGTTTTGGGGTGGATTTTCGTCATTTTGGCATAGATCTGATGCAGGCACCAAAAGCAGTGTAATAAGAGAAGTGAATCAAAACTATGAGGCCATGTTAAGATTTGTGTTTCTCCTTTCTCTTTTAAAGTTGAATTTGTGGTATTTTTTATTTGATACCAGCAGAGGTTTAAACTAGAGAGTAGAACCTACCTCCTCCCCCAATACAAGAGGTAGGTTCTGCTCTCTAGTTTCAACCATTTAAAAAAATATGGAGGTAAATACCAATGACTTAGCTAAAAGAATGCTTGGCTTCTGAGAAGGAAAAATGGGAGAAGGAGACTGGATTCTTCTGGTAATATAAGTATTAGAACTAAGTATCTCTTTAAGCTCATGTATAATTTTGATAAAAATAACTTTAGAGGTACCTGGGTGTCTCAGTTGGTTGAACATTTATTTGATATCAGCAGAGGTTGAAACTAGAGAGCAGAACCTACCTCTTGTGTTTATTTAATTGTTCATTCAGTCACACATTCAGTCAGACATTATTTTGGATGCTATGTGTGGCACTATACTGTACATAGTGTTTGTGGTAGTTAATAAGCACTGTCCTTGCCCTCAAGGAGCTTATGGCTTTGTGGGAGAGATGGAAACATTTTAAGCAATTTTACAAACAATCATATAGTTATAAATTGTGATAATTGCTAGTATGAGAGTAATGGAATGAGATGAGAGAGTAATTTAAATTAGAGGCATAAACTCTAGGTGAGATAAAGCATTTTCAGACAGTCAAGATTTTAAAATATTTGCCTCCTATACGTAGTATTATAGGGAGTGGATTTGGAAGCTGCTGGAAGATGCTTGTACCAAATCAAAACAAGTGAAAGCAAAAGGATGTAGATAATAGAGTATCTAACACTGGAAGGAAAGTATCTAGCAAGATAATGATAAAAAGAAATTCTAGGATGTCAGCTGTGCCCCCAACACACAGAGAGTAACAAATCTAGATTGGATTTGGTCAGAATTCTCTGAAAATTCTGGATAAATTATTAGGACATCTGAGGCAGCAAAAGAAATTAAGATAACTGGGGAGAAATGGAATGGATTCCAGTTGTATTTTGGAGGCAAATTGGTAGAATTTGGTAATTCACTGGAGATAAAGTTGAATGAGAACAAGTGATCAGTGACTGCTAGGTTTCTTCGTGCATAGATGGATAGATGGACTGTTCATTTACCAAGTAAAGGAAGTAAAGGAACTCTGGAAGAAAAACAGATTTCAGGTAATACTGAAAGTCCTAATTTTAGACATTGAGTCTGGATATGAGAGGGGGATATTCACATGGAGATGTCAGGTGGCCAGTTAAATAAGTAGCTTGAAGTACAGAAGAGGGCTAGAGATAGGATTGTACAAGGATCAAGGTATAGGTGCTGTTTTGTTGCTGTGGAAGAGAATTAGATTGTCTGGAATGAAAGTAAGGACCAAAAAGATAAGAAAGAAAAGGATCAAGTCCCAGGGAACTGGAATTTATAGAAGTCTGATAGAAGGGGAGGAGCAGGAGGGCCAAAATTAGTTCGAAGTGGGTTTAATTGAGCGTCTGCCTTCGGCTCGGGTCATGATCCCAAAGTCTTGGGATCAAGCCCCCCGTCGGGCTCCTTGCTCCGTGGGGAGCCTGCTTCTCCCTCTCTCTCTGCTGCTCCCCCTGCTTGTGCTCGCTCTCTCTCACTCTCTCTTTCTCTCTTAAATATTTTTTAAAAAGTGCAGACGAGTTGAGAAAGTAGAGACAGTATATGTAGATGGTGCTAGCAAGAAACTTGTTTGTGAAACTGATCAGAGATTGGATGGTAGCTGAAAAGTAAAGTAGAAGATAGTTGTTTTTATTTTTATTGTTTTTAAAGATTAAGCACACGTGTGTGAGTGGAGGGAGAGGGAGAGAATCTTCAGGCAGACTCCCTGCTGAGCATGGATTTCCGTTGGGGGGGATGCTAAATCCCACGACCCATGAGATCATGACCTGAGACCAAACCAAGAGTTGGAGGCTCAACCAACTGAGCCACCCAGGTGCTCCGAGAAAGTTGTTTTTAATATTGCTTTTTTGTGTGAGAAATATGAGAGCATATTTAAATGCTGATGGTGGGCCCCAGAGTGAGGAGAGATTGGAAATGCTGAAGAGGCAGGAGGGATTGAGACCCCATGTACATGTGAAGAATTGACCTTTAATAGTAGGCATGTCAGGACCAGCACAAGAGCATACCATTTTAATGATCTAAACATAATGATAAGTTATCTTTACTTCAGCCTTGTAAAATGCAGTCTGTTAGCAGTTTTTCTTCTTTGACTAAAAGCATTGAAACTATGAATTTATAACTTAGTAATTTAATTGTTGCTATGGTTACCTATATGTTATGCTAGTGAACATTTTTTTATAGCGTTGAATAAAACTGGGTTGGAACGTTTTCTTTAAAGCCATTTTTCCTTTTCAGGAGCATTTAAGATGTATCTGATAGTTCCTGTACTTGAAGAGTATTTGTATTTATCAGTAATGGTACAAAATGAGCATGTATTGAAAGTAATAGAATACAATTTCTGCATTTAATTTTGTGTGTTTACTCTAAGGTTACCTCCTGTTTTGCAGAGTCAAGTAAAGAACAGTTTGCCAGTACGAACATTGCTGAAGAGCTGGTAAAACTCTTCAAGAAACAAATAGAACATGATAAAAGGGAAATGATTTTTGAAGTTCTTGCTCCATTGGCAGAAAATGGTGAGAAAATAAATGCACCTCTTGATTTTTTATCATGTATGCTTTTTCCGTTTTTCCTAATACTACTTAATTGCCAGCTATTTAACTCAAAAGCCTTCTTTGCTTTATTAATGATGTGATGTTTTACTTTGGGTGTCTATAACTTCAGCTACATTATCTACTCTGTAACTATATCTACATTTGCCAAAGCTACTTTCCAAGTTCCTTTGATTTTAAAGTCTTGGCAAAAACATGATTCTGTAGCTTACACATTTTTATGCCCATCTGCAAAAGGCACCTGAGAGGCTGAACTTCACTTATGAAAAGCCTTGCAGGGCAAAGGGACAGTGTGGACACTGGTAAACTGTTCCCATCTTTGATAAAAAATCTAAAGGGATACACCATAGGAATAAGAGTGAACCAGAGTAAACAAACCATCCCATATAAATAATTTTTCAGATACAGTGTCTAGCACATAATCGTAAGTACCAGATACATGAGAAGACAAGACAATTATAAGCAAGAACCAGCACAAAGAACAGGCAACAACAGCACATCTCCAGATATTAGAATTATTAGACATTGACTCAATATAGGTATGCTATTATATTCAAATAAAGGGAAGCTTGAAAAATTTAGAAGGGAACTAGAAACTATAAAAAGTGACATAGCAGATTTGAAAAAGAAACAATTGGAAATTCCTGAATTGAAAAAAATAAAACCCAAAATAAGAACCTAATGGATGGATTTAGATCAAATATAGTCATCTTAGAGAACCAGTGAACTGGAAGATAGACTGGAATAAAATCCAGAATGAAGTATAAAGAGAAAAAAAACCAATATACATAAAAAGAATAAGAAGTACAAAGGGTACAGTGAGAAGCTCTCACATTTTTTGGAGTTCCAAAAAGTGGTGGGGGAAGCAGAGGCAATATTTTTTAAAATTTTGACAGAGAATTTACCAGAAATTATTAATGTAAGTAACAAATATTCAAAAATCCAAATGAATCTAAAACCTGATAAAAAGAAATTTATATCTAGATACATCATCTTGAAACGACAGGAAACTAATGACAAAAATCTTAAAAACAGCCTGGAAAAAAATAGATTATCTTAAAAAGGGTGACAGTTTGGCTGATTGCTTATCTTCTAGCACAACAGTGAAATCCAGATGATGATGAAACATCTACGTGCTGAAAAAAAAATGCCAACCTAGATTTCTAAACCCCATGAAAACATCCTTCAAAACTAAAGACAAGGGCACCTGAGTGGCTCAGTTGGTTAAGCGTCTGCCTTCAGCTCAGGTCATGATCCCGGGATCCTGGGATCGAGCCCCACATCAGGTTCCCTGCTCAGCAGGAAGTCTGCTTCTTCCTTGCCCTCTGCCCCTACCCGCCCTTTCATGTTCTCACACACACACACACACACACACACACACTCTCTCTGTCAAATAAATAAATAAAATCTTAAAAAAAAAAGGCAAAATATATTTTCAGAGTAAAAACTGAGAAGGTACACCACCAACTTTGATTACTAAAATAATTTTTAAAAACAATGTGTAACTGCCAAACTAATGGAAAGATTTTTTTTTTTTTAAGTACACCTTCAAAATAACAGAAGAGAGGAGAGAAAAAGGAACATGGAACGGGGTACAAATAGGGCATATAAAATATACTAGATTTAAGACATAGCATTTCTTATATTAAAAGCACTTGACCTAAATCCTTTAATTAAGAGACATATTGTCAACTGAATTTTTAAAAATCAACTATTATTTTTCAAACAAACAAAACTTGTTAATTATAAGGAGATTTATAAGTTAAGAATAAAAGCATTTAAAAAAATAAAAATCACTCAGGGGAGCCTGGGTGGCTCAGTCAGTTGATCATCTGGCTCTTGGTTTTGGGTCAGGTCATGATATTGGGTTCTGGGATGAGCCCCATATCAGGCTCCATGCTCAGTGGGGAGTCTGCTTCTCTCCTTCTACCTCTGCCCTCCTTTCCTCCCTCCCTTCCCCCCGCTCCTGCTTACATGTGCACGCACTCTTTCTAAGTACGTCTTTATAAATAAATAAATCATTCAAACTTAAAGAAGATTGAGATATATTTAATATCAGATAAAATAGAATTTAAGATTAAAAGATTCAATAGATAAGGTGATGAAAGGTCTGATTCACCTGGGAGCTATAAGTATACATTACCCCAAAACATATGAAGCAGAAACACTCAGAATTATGGAGAGAAATAGACAAATCCATAAATATCATGGGAGATTTTAATACCTCTTTCAGTAATTGATACAACAAGCAGGTAAAAACCAATAACAAGGTTATAGAAAAGATTAACAACATGATTAAGAAAATTGATTTAATGGACATATTTTAGAATACTGCACCCAGCTGCAGGGCCCTTTCTTTTCAAGTACACATGAAATATATAAAACACATATAGTCGTGAAAAAGTTTTACATCAGCATGGGTGGAACTGGAGAGTATTTTGCTGAGCAAAATAAGTCAATTAGAGAAAGAGAATTATCATATGGTTTCACTCATATGTGGACTTTAAGAAGCAAAACAGATGAACATAGGGGAAGGGAAGGAAAAATAAAATAAGATGAAATCAGAGAGGGAGACAAACCATAAGAGACTCTTAACTATAGGAAACAAACTGAAGGTTGCTGGAGGAGAGGTGGGTGGGGGGATGGGGTAACTGGGTGATGGGCATTAAGGAGGGCATGTGATGTGATGAGCACTGGGTGTTATATGCAATTGATGAATTACTGAACTCTCTCTCTGAAACTAATGATACACTATATGTTTAATTGAATTTTTAAAATTTAATAAAAAAAAGTTTTAACAAATTTCAAAGGATTGCAATCTTAGGAGTATGTGCTCTGACTTAAGTGACTTGTCTAATAATAATAAAAAGATAACTAGGAAATCCCTTTATATTTAGATATTAAAAAAATATATTTCCAGTACTTCAGAGGTCAAAGGAGAATCATGATGGAAATTAGAAAATTTTCTTTAAGATTTTATTTATTTGAGAGAGAGAGTGCACATGCACAAGTGCACACACAAGTGGAGGGAGGGAAAGGGAGAGAATCTCAAGCAGGATCTGCTATGAGCGCAGAGCCTGTCTCGGGGCTTGATCTCATGACCCAAAGATCATGACCTGCACTGAAACCAAGAGTCAGATGCTCAACCAATTAAGCCACCAAGGCGCGCTGGAAATTAGAAAATTTTCTAATAATGAAAACAATACTATATCTTAAATCTTATGTGATATAAGTAAAGCCATACTTGGAGGAAAGGAAATCTAAAGAGCTGAGATTAATAAAATAGAAAATACATAATGCAATATAAGCATATAATCACCAAAGTTGAGTCCAAAAGATTAAATAAAACTGGTAAATCACTAGTAAGATTAATCAAGAAAAAAATCCTTTATTCTGATAAAACTGTAGTAATTAAAAGACTGTGTGGTATTGGTACAAGGATGGATGAGAAGACCAGAACAGCATACCTGAGGAACAAATGGATGCATTAATAGGTGCTTATTTTATTAGGAGAAAAAATCAAGTTGTCACTGCAAAACAGTGTGGAAAGAACAGTCTTTTCAATAAACAGTGCTGGGAATATGAGAAAAAATACAAATGAAGACACATATATACACCTGTACTTCATACTGTATGTAAAAAAGTTTAGATAGATGATTAACCTAAATGGGAAAGTAAGAACCAGAAAGCGTACCTTAAAAATATAAGATAGGAGAATATCGTCATGGCCTTGGAGTTATAGAAAGTTTTCTTAGGTCACAAAAATCTCTGACCATAAAGGAAAAGATTGATAAATTTGGCTAAAACTTCCAATGAAAATGAAAGACACCAAAAAGCACCATTAAGAGTGAAAAGCAAGATGGTGTGTAAGAGAAGATATTTACAACACACATAATTAACAGAATGTGTACAATTTATAAAAACTCCCACAAATCATTAAGGAAAATATAGAAAGCCCAGTGGGAGAATGCATAAAAGATTTAAATAGGCACTTGACAAAAGATAAAATCCCAAATGGCTAATAAACACATGAAAATATGCTTAACTCATTAATAATGAGGATGCAAAATAAAACACTATATAGCCACCGGAAAGTCTAATAATACCAAATGTTGATGAGGGTGTGGAGCAGTGGAAACTCATTAAGTGCTGGTGGGTGTGTAAATTGGGTACAATTTGGAAAACAGGTTTGAGATTGTATTCTGTGTAATCCAACAGTTTTGCTCTTAGAATGTACCCAGAAACATGTACATGTGCACCAGGAACCATTACAGAAATGTTCTTAGCTTTATCTCTAATAAATGAAAAATTAGAAACAACTTATATCCATTAACAGTAGAATAAATAATGGTATACTCATATAATGGAAAAAATTATACTTATGAACAGGAATGAAGACAACTCTAACAATGGTGTAGATGAATCTTACAAACATTGATAGAAAAAAGCCAACACTAAAAATATGTATTGTAAGGTTCCATTTATATAAAAATTCAAAAAAGTAAAATTAAACTGTAGTTTTCAGGAATACTTATTTGGTGAAATAATAAGGAAAAGTCTGAATGTGATTACCATAAAAATCAGGGTAGTGATTTGAAAGGAATGGAGGGAGGAATATGGCGGGAAAAGGGAATGCTACAAAGGGGCTCCCTGGGATGCTGGCAATAAATTTCTTGATCTAGGTGGAAATTACGTGGTTATTTGCTTCATAGTAATTGATTAAGCTAATATGTATATTACGCACTTTTCTGCATTTGTGGCATTTTTTTCACCATTTGGAGAAGATTTTTAAATATATATATGTACACAGATATAGTAGATGTATGTATTTATATATGATACATATGTATGTATACTTACCTATATATGCAAGTGGTAGTTATACAAATAGATGTCCTTGGGCAGAACTGTGTTGATAAATGTGTGCTGGGCTATCTGCTTTGGCAGACTGCCTTGCTTATCCTCCTTAATAAAAAAGCCTCCCACATATATATGTGATTACAGTCAAACTGGTAGAGGAGAGATCTGTAAACTTTAATCTTGACACATTTAAAATTTTCTAAAGGCTTTAGATCTTATTCTTTAGGCAGAAATTTGTTTCTCATCTCATTTGGTGGTTTGGCCAAATGAAGTTTTTATTATGACCTTCAGTCAATTTTATACCAGAGAATTACCTGTAACCTTTCTTGCAATATATCAAAATAAAAACATTTTTCTTATATCTGCTTTCTCCTTTACCACCTTCACTTCTGTTTTGTAATTGTGCAATGAATTGAATGATACTTCTGAAAAGTTATTTCTGGAATATCCTTAGTGTTCATCCTTGGTTTTCCTTGTATGCAAAGGAGACATTAAAATTGGGATTTGTATAATTCAAGGTTTTTAGGAATTTAAAGGCTTTTTCTCATGGCTTTCAATTCTAGTCACACATTTCTAGCCCTAGCATTCTGTAACCAAGGAAACGCCCTACTTTCAGCATGGCACAGCGCAAGTGTACCTTTTAAAAAAACATTCCAGGTTGAATATTCTGTGTGTTCTGATACAATATTCTAAAGAATACCAGTGGTCCTGGTGTTGGGGGGGGGCACTAAATTTTTATATCTTAAACTTGCCTAAAAGAAAATGTCAATTATAAAAAGGTCTTTGTTTCTCCCAAATAACCCTAAAGCTGCCATCGCTGTAGATGTGTACATATACAGCGTAGGGAAACCAATGACTAAAATAAAATCCAACTAAAAAATAAGATTTAAATTTAATAATTTCTGTATAGCAAATGTTTCTAAGGTCAGTTGATCTGCATTTATCTTAAATGCTATAAAATAGACCCAAAGCATTTAGGTAGACCAGTTTAGGTTAAAATACAAAGATGAAAGAGGTATAATACCTACTCTAATGGGGAAGACAGATATGGATATGAATATAAAGTCTGCAATGAAATAAGTTCTATAATAAAAAATATCTAAGTTATTGGGGTGCAAACAAATGATTTGATAAAAGTAGAGCTTGCTCTGGGGCGCCTGGGTGGCTCAGTTGGTTAAGCGACTGCCTTCGGCTCAGGTCATGATCCTGGAGTCTCGGGATCGAGTCCCACATTGGGCTCCCTGCTCAGCAGGGAGTCTGCTTCTCCCTCTGACCCTCTTCCCTCTCGTGCTTTCTATCTCTCATTCTCTCTCTCAAATGAATAAATAAAATCTTTAAAAAAAAATTTCCTTAAAAAAAAAAAAAGTAGAGCTTGCTCTGAAGAGAATTTTTAACAGTATATTTGGGATATAAATTTTGCTGTTAAAATACCTTCATGTTGCTTGTTATCCATCAGAAAGCTCAAAGTTATTTTTTTCTTTCAACTTTTAGTATGGAAAATTTAAAACCTATGCACATGTAGAGAGAATATAGTATAATGAACTACCATGTAACCATCACCCAGGAAAACTTCAAATTAATGAAAACCTGAAGCCCTTTTAAAAAACATGAGTTTTAAAGTTCAGAAAGTTGTAGAGTTATTAACTGCCTTAGAAAAAATCATGTCTATACAAATATGATTCCAAATATACTTAAGGTATAGTTTAAAATTTACTAATAGCTTTACTTTTCAATATCTTTCTATTCAAATGCTGTTAGTGGATATATTTTAACTCTATATAACAGGCATATGTGTTTTATTTTAAATGGTGTGGGTGTTTTATAGTAAGTATTTTAAACATGAACATGATATCTAGAATAACAGTGGAGTGCTATTACCTTCAAAGTTGAGAATCAGTTTGTTTAGGTGCTGCCAGACATTGTAAAAAGTGACCTAATTTCAAGTAAAAAAAATGAAATAAAAGTATATAAGCTACACTGTCAGTTCATTTTGAAACTGAAATCTTTGAAGGTGTATTATCTAAATCATGCATTTTATTTCTTGTAATTCTTCATAATGGATTGCTTCTCACAGAACTTTTATTTCATTTCAAGTTTTGGTTATTTTGTTCACATATTCTTTAGATGCTATTAAGCTACAGCTGGTTGAAGCAGGCCTGGTAGAATGTCTACTAGAGATTGTTCAGCAGAAAGTGAATAGTGACAAAGAGGATGATATTGCTGAGCTCAAAACTGCTTCAGATCTAATGGTTTTACTACTTCTTGGAGGTGAGTTATAATTTAAGTCAATCGAAGAACATCATTGTCAGATTTTTAAAAATGTATTGTCTCTTTTGTGAGCACTATATATATTAGGCATTTTCTCATTTTCCTGCCTCCTTTAATCCTGTTGATGTGATGATTTTGAAACCTTAAATGCGTCATGAGAACTAGAGATAATGAACCTGGAAAAGAGGAGTCTTCATTATCTTCCAGTATTTAAAGAGCTGTCGTAGGTTAGCTGTGGCACCAAAAGACTGAAAGCTAGAGGGTTATTTGAGACTTAGACTAGAAAAATCCTAAACTCTTTTTCCAGTCTCTACTAAAAGCTTATTATAAAAGGAGTCATTACTTTTCCTTCTATGAATTATCGTTTGTGAAGTATGTATCCAGTTGGATAGTCACACAGGAATATGGATTTGTTACTCTTAATTCTTTTCCTCTAACCTATTTTTTTCATTTACCTCCAGATGAATCCATGCAGAAATTATTTGAAGGAGGAAAAGGTAATGTGTTTCAAAGGGTACTGTCCTGGATTCCATCAAATAACCACCAGCTACAGCTTGCTGGAGCATTGGCAATCGCAAATTTTGCCAGAAACGGTAAGCATGTTATTTCATCCTTTTTAAATTGGATGTTCTATGTATTTTTTTTTTATTTTTGCTTTGCCATTACACGTAGTAAAACTGGAACAGTTCAGAAGTATATCTAGTGTACCACTACCTTAATTTTTTAGAGATGAAATATTTAGTGATCCCCCCCCTTTTTTTAAGTAAGCTCTACTTCCCAGCATGGGGCTTGAACTCCCTACCCTGAGATCAAGATTCTTATGCTCTACTGACTGAACTAGCCACACACCCCTACTTAGTGATTTTTCTAACAAATTACATATTTTGTGCAATTTAACTAAGTTCTGATAGTTTAAAGATCATGAACAGTGATCATGAAGTCCTTCTTTGAGTGCTCTGCACTTTATAGATCATTAAATTTGAGTCCCATTCTAATATGCACTGTATCTGGGAGGATATGCTCTCTTGCCTGGTGATTTTTTGATTTAATAATCTGAGTATTCTTTGTAGGGTTATTGTGCCTTAATTTATACTTTTATGCCTCTTAAAACTTAAGTGTGAGTAATCCTCTGGTTTAGGGTAGAATATTTAATTTGGTTTAATAACATTTCCAAGGCACCGGACCTTCATGTTCATTTCTGAAGTCTGGAACTCCTGCTATTCAGTCTAGAAACTCGTTCTTAGACTGTGACTAGGAAATATGGGTTATTTTTTGTTTTTAGTTTGATTTTATTCCATTATGAGCTTTGTAACTCTATAATGGATGTCTTACTCCATTTTTACTCCCTTATTTTTGAGGACGATCATTCAGTCCTTAATGATGTAATTAAGAATAGTAAAATATTGGTAATTATTGAAGCTAAATGTGGAATAAATAGTGGTTCATTATAATATTTTCTCTGCTTTACAAATGTTTCAAAAATTTTGACATTGAAAAATAATTTAAACATCAGCCATGACAGCACTCTATGTTTTGTTGTCACTGTAACATTGGCAGAACTTGGGCATAGTTCACTTTAAGTGAAAACTATTGGTAAACATTTTAAGCCTATGGTTTCTACTTACTCATCTTTTAATATATTATCAGGCTGTATGCTAGAGATTTTTCTTGTCATGACTTCTTACTCAGTAAAGAAAAAAAAAATCTATAAATCTGATGGGAGAAAGAGTTGGAATTCATTTTATTTTCTTGTAGCTCCATTTTTCCTGAATGTAGATGGATAATGGATAGGCATCACTATTATAAAATATTTATAGATATTTGTAAAGAGGAAAGGAAAAAAATGCTTTTGTTTCATTCAGATGGAAACTGTATTCACATGGTAGACAATGGAATTGTAGAAAATCTTATGGATTTACTCGACAGACATGTTGAAGATGGAAATGTAACTGTACAGCATGCAGCATTAAGTGCCCTCAGAAATCTGGCCATTCCAGGTAGGACTTAAGAATGGTAGGCAACTCTGTACGAAATAAGATCTATTCTTTAGGGAGGTATTTATTTTATGTGATTTGTGGACCTATCCTGACCAAGAAAAAAAAAAATCTTCAAATTGTTTACATTTTTCTTACTAATAAATGGAGATCATATGTTAAATAGTTTTCACAAAACATAATCTTTGTGTTTGTTCAGATGAAATATTCTATTACCTTTTGTGGACTCCTAGATTAACACAGTTGGGTCAAGGACAGAGGTAAAAAGAAACATTTACTAAAGCTGAAGAATTATGCTGCTTTGTAAGTAAGAAGACAACTGTCAGATTTCCTTTACAAATTGTTTAAGTGTTTTGAGGGTAGGTTTAAAAAGCCAGTACATATGATTTTGTATGTTATGCTCCTACAGACAAACAGGATAATTAAGCCCCACCCCCAGTCCTATTCTTAAAATAAAGTAACAAGACTGTTTTTAAATAGAAAAATGTAACATGGGGCCTTAAAAATATTAAGACAATAAATATATATTGAATTGAATGACTATCATCAAGAATGCTAGCACCATTTTAACCACAGTCTCTCTTTCTCTCTTTCTTTCTAGTTGTAAATAAAGCAAAGATGTTATCAGCTGGAGTCACAGAGGCAGTTTTGAAATTCCTTAAGTCTGAAATGCCTCCAGTTCAGTTCAAACTTCTGGGAACTTTAAGAATGTTAATAGATGCACAAGGTAAAGGAAATGTTTTCACAAGGTAACATTTTTGGTATGATAGTCAATTTGCCTTAGTTGAAAAGGACTTGTTTTTAGCTTTCAGAATTATGTAATCATAAAGATAAATGGCAAATAAAAGGCAAAGAGAGATTGGTTTTAGAGTTTCATTCATTAATTTTCATGCTTGTTATAACTGAGTTTAAACAGAAATTATATTGCATCTCTACTGTACATATAATCCTGGTTTTATGTTGATTTATTAGCAGTTCTGAAGGGTTTTTATGTTTTAGCGTTTCATACCCATTTTTTTTTTTAAGGTTTTATTTATTTGACAGAGAGGGAGTGAGAGGGCACAAGCAGGGGGAGCAACAGAGGGAGAGGGAGAAGCGGGGCTCAATCCCAGGACCCCAGAATCATGACCTGAGCCGAAGGCAGACACTTAACCAACTGAGCCACGCAGGCGCCCCGTTTCATACCCGTTTTTACCTTGTCTTGAAAATCATGTTGCAGTACATGGACAGTCAAAATTCTTAAAAATTTATTTTGCAAACAGGGAGATCATTTTTCTGTTTACAGAAACAATGATGGAAACTACTCCTTGGAGTGAATTGTGTTCATTTACTTATTTCTAAATTCTAAACCTTTCTCTATATTGATTTCTCAGAGTCCTGCTCCTACCCTTTGTTATGGTTTGCCAGAGTACTGACAGACTACCAGGCTGAACCATAAGAGTATAACATTGTTTTGTATTTTATGTTCTGTATGAAAGTCCACAACTTTGTAGAAGAAGCTAAATAGTCCACTAGATATGGAGTATTTGCAGTTCTTGCTTAATAAAATCATTGTGTTGTGCCGTGTGTGTGTGTGTGTGTGTGTCGGTATAAAATTTTCTTTCACACTCTTAGATCTTTACCAGTTGTTTCACTTGGTTGCCTTTCAGTGATTGTTTCCTTTGTGGTTTGACTTCTTTCCTATAGCAGAAGCTGCTGAACAACTGGGAAAGAATGTTAAATTAGTGGAGCGTTTGGTAGAATGGTGTGAAGCCAAAGATCACGCTGGTGTGATGGGGGAGTCCAACAGACTGCTGTCTGCCCTCATACGACACAGTAAATCAAAAGTAAGTTCCAGAGAAAACTGTTCACTAAAAAACATACAAGTGGCCTTTTTGGAAACTCCGTATCATAGATCCCATATCATAAGCTTGCATTTTACACATTTATGTATAAATACATTACAGATAGACCTCTGAGATTCATAGTTTCTGTTCCAAACCACTGTGATAAAGCGAAAATTGCAAAAAAGTGAGTCAAATGAATTTTTTGGTTTCCTAATGCATATAAAAGTTGTGTTTATACTGTAGTCTGTTAAGTGTGCAATAACAGCATTATGTTTAATGAAATAATTTGTATACTTCAATTAAAAAATACTTTATTGCTAAAAAATGCTAACCATTTTCAGTGACTCATCATCACTGGTCACAGATCACCGTAACAAATATAGTAATGGAAAAGTTTGAAATTTTGTGAGAATTACCAAAATGTGATGCAGACCTGAAGTGAGCAAATGCTGTTGGGAAAATGGCACTGATAGACTTACTTGGTACAGGGTTGCACAGACCTTCAATTTGTAAAAAATGCATTATCTGTGAAGCACAGTAAAGTGAAGCACAGTAAAATGAGGGATGCCTGTGATCCACAATCCTGAAAAAGTCATTGAAGATTGAGCTTTTGTATTTAGTTCTGTTCCATAATAGTTAAGAGTAAGGCTTTGGAATCAGAGATGAGTTCAGATTTTATCTCCACTATATACTTGGTCAAGTCTTTCACATCTCACTATCTCAGTATAATACCTACCTACTGAAAGTTGTGAGAATGATTCAATGAGACATATACAAAGTGCTCAACTGGTACCTGGGACATAGTAAGCACTCAGTAAGTGGAGTCGTAAATGTTGCTGGTGTTGTTATTTTTACCACTACCGTCAGTGTCAAACATCTTCTGTGGGCCAGACACTGACCAAGCTAGCTAATGATATTAAGAAGTTAAATGATACCTAGGTAGTATGTGATGCTCTAAACTCACAAAGTTGGATGAAATCGATTCTCAGGGCAGTGTCCAGCCTAGTATGTCTGACATGTGGTTGCAAGCCTCTGTTGAGTGAGTGAACACATGAATGAGCAAATTTTAAAGATCACAATGGGAATGTGATCCCACAATGGGTGGGAACCCAGGCCAGTTTGCAGCTGATTTAGTATCTATAATATATACCTTTTATTTTTCTATAACCTGTTTTCTAAAGTGAGCCCTTTTGGTCATTTCACTTATGTCCATGGGAAAATGCATCACAACTTCTTAACCAAATCTTGAAGCCAAAGCTGTTCAATTGCTGTATTAAATTCAGATTTGAGGGTTTTGAGGCTTTTCTGTTTAAATCACAAGATTTCCCTGTCCCTCATCCAAACCCCCACTGTCTCCACCAAAAAAAAAAAAAAAAAAACAACTTTCAAGAACCCATTAAGCATCCATCATCATGTAGGTGTTTTGAAAAGACAAGGGAAACAGGACATGGCACCTTTCTAGGGGTATGTGTGTAACAAAAAGCAATTTGAAATGATATAATTTGAATGATAATTGTAACTTCATGATCATATTATAACTGTATGTTTACAGTTCAGTACTGTAGGCTGGGGTTTTGGTTTTTGTTGTTGTTCTGCTGCGTATCTTCCCTACAATTAAGTGTATACTGCTGTTAAGCAGCAATAGGAACCTTGATTTGCATACTTTAATGATTAGAGCATAAGGTGTGTTCCTTGTGTGAGCTCCAGATAAGAACTCTTAAATTATTTTTAAATTTCAAAGCATTAAAGTGGAATCAGTGATTTCATTTTGAGAATCAAAGCAGTTCTCAAAATATGTTCCATTGAAGACTAACCCTAAGAAATATTCCATAAAGAGAAAAGGTTGTACGATCAGATTAGTTAGGGAAGTAGTTCATTCCCTTTCCTTGCCTTTGGAATTCACAGCACATATTAGTACTACTCTAAAAAAATGTCCTTAACTCTGTTTAATCCACTGATTCCCAAGCTATCAGACAATGGGTTTTGCAAGTTGCATCTATTAAATACATTTCACCGGGCATACTTCAGAAAATGCTGCTCTGGAATAAGCTTTTAAACACTAGGTACAAGTTAGTCACATTCCTGTAGATCCTTAGCCAACTATTGTGAATTACAGTTCTCTCCTTGTGTTATTTTTAAACTTTGAAGGTCCTACTCCTTTTAAAGTTACCCTGAGTTCTTAGAGTCCAACCCTCTGAAAGTTTGCACTGACTCATGGGGTTTCACACTAGCTTAGTCATCTCAGCCATATACAGTGTGTTCCTGCACTTGTGCCAAGAGTAAATTCACATCTTCCTTCGAAAGAGTGCCCTAGGCTAGGACTCTTGAGCAACTAGCTGGACCTTCTGATTGTAGATATCAAAAACAGAAAAATATGGTTTGCTTCTACACTAGGAATATAAAAATTCCCTCCTGTCATAGGCACTCTTCTTTATCCTTGAAGAATAAAACATTCTTCAATTTTCGATCTAAAAACTTGATCAGACAAAATTTAGTCATTCACTCATACATCTAACATTTAATTCCTATACTGAGAAGTAGTCTTTGATGGTACAAAGTTGGGAAAGAAAATTTTTATCAGGTGATTCAGTGGCTGTGTTATAAATTGATTGTCTTGAATTTAAGCCTATTTCAGAACATAACATTGTAATCAGTATTTTACAGTTTTCAGCAAAGTTTGTAGCTGGATTATCTCAGTTATTAAGGGCAAATGGACCATAAAAGCTAAATATATGAGACTATTACATAGATAATTTGCCTTGGTTGTGTATGTACCAAAATTTAGCTTTCCATAAGAAAACTCCTTATAGGATTGCAAAATAATACATCATTTAAAACTTTGTAAAACATTATGAAGTATGTCCAAAATTTTTGGAGATTTTGCAGATACACCTAAGGTTTAGAAGGATGACCCAGAAAAATGTCTTCCTGTGTACTTCTACAGTTTAATAAATGAAATGGTTTCAGAAAAGTTAAACTCTCTGGATTAATTTTAGATGTGTATTGTTTAAAACTATTTGTAATTCTCCAGATGAACCTTGCTCTGTGGAGTGGTGCTAATATCCTTTTTTGTTAAATATCTTGAAATTTAAAATATAACTTTAAAATACATTCATAGAGCCTCTGTAGAGCACTGTGACTAGCTGTGTATGGCACTGTGATGAATTTAGGACATACACTTTTGTACAGAGCACAAATGGTTAGAAACAAGGAACTGATAGTCACACTGCCTGGATTTGAATCTTGACTTTTTTTTTACCATTTAATCACTGACTTTGGACAGATTTCATAACTTAATCTGAGCTTCAGTTTCTTCATCTGTTAACTAGAGATAATATCTAGCTGATGGAATTTTCTGTGAGGATAAGAATATGCTAATATCTGTAAGCTACCCAGTATAATGTCCAGTGTGTAGTTGTTGCTCCATAGAGGGTAACTATCAATATTATTCTCTTTTGTCAATATAACACAAGAACAATGGAACAATGCTTCATTTGTCTTTTGTCTTCCATTCTGTCAGGCAAAGCAACTTCATAGAGCATCTATTCAATAAACATTTATTGAGGTAGGAGGAGAGAGGGCAGGCATTTTAAAAGCACTACTCCAATATCTGTTCAAAAAAGTGAGATGGAGGGGCTCCTGGGTGGCTTAGTCAGTTAAGCATCTGACTCTTGATTTTGGCTCAGGCCATGATCTCAGGGTTGTGAGATCAAGGCCCGTGTCAGACTCTGCACTCTGCATGGAGTCTGCTTGAGATTCTTTCGCTCCCTCATCCACTGCTTGTGCACTCTCTAAAATAAAAAGTAAATAAATAAAATGAATAGAAAAAAATAAAATAATAAAAAAGAGATGGTAAAGGAGCTATGCTTGAACTTACAGGGAGCTGCTCACTTCTGATACGCAGTTTCCTTCTTCATCCATTACGTGCCCCTCCTTATACTCTAGTGGACTCTCCAGGGTGAATCACAAAATAAAGGATGAAATGCTAGTCCAAGAACCTTCATTAGGTGACTGCATATGTATCTATGAACCTCTTGTGGTCTTCTTTACTCAGTAAGCTCCTTTGTGATTTTTATAAAATTCTTTACTAATTTTAAGTTTCAGATAAAGTGCCCACCAAGTAAATTGGGAGGCTTTCTTTTTGTTAGAAAAGCCTTTTAAAAGACAGTTTCTCACTTACTAAAAGAAGGTAATGGTAAAAGGTTAGATGCCAAAATATAACCATCATACAAACTCAGTGCTAGGACTCCATAATTTAGAATGTTTGATCTTTAAATGCATTTGGGCTCAAAGCAAAGATACTATCTATAGTTTTCTTAAGAATTTATATAAGGTAAAAGCATAAAGGAAACCCCTTTTCAAGTATTTTAGCAAATTAATTTGAAAAATATTTATAATTACAGTTAGTTTTATACTGTCAAAGCTAAAGCAGACAGGCTACTTAATATCCAGCACTTAAATTACTAAAGGTAGTGAGAACAAAGAAAATTACCTTAAAAAATTCTAGAATTGAGACTTTCTACTAAATCACATTTAATCCAAGAGTTTTTAGGAAACAAAACTGAGATAAAAACAAAAATGAAGGGGCGCCTGGGTGGCTCAGTTGGTTGAGCGACTGCCTTCAGCTCAGGTCATGATCCTGGAGTCCTGGGATCGAGTCCTGCATCGGGCTCCCTGCTCAGCGGGGAGTCTGCTTCTCCCTCTGATCCTCTTCCCTCTCGTGCTATCTCTCATTCTCTCTCTCTCTCAAATAAATACAATCTTTAAAAAAAGAAAAAAAAAAAAAAAAAACTGAGATAAAAACAAAAATGAAGGGGCGCCTGGGTGGCTCATTCGTTAAGCATCTGCCTTCGGCTCAGGTCATGATCTCAGGTCCTGGGATCGAGCCCCGCATCAGGCTCCTTGCTTGGCGGGAAGCCTGCTACTCCCTCTCTCACTCACCCTGCTTGTGTTCCTTCTCTTGCTATGTCTCTGTCAAATAAATAAAATCTTTTAAAAAGTGAATACTAGAAATAAATGTGGCATTTTAAAAAATCTAACTTTTGCCGTATATTCTTATATATGCTTTTCATGTAATAACTTTGTAATTATCACAAAAACCTATGATAACACATTATCCTAGCATTAAATAAAAGGTCACTGAGATGCAGAGAGGTTCAGTAATTTGCTTAGTCAATGTTGGCAGTGGGTTTTATTCAATCTGGAACCCATTGTCTCCTCTGCCATTGAAGAGGACAGAGCTGCAGGTCCCATGAGAAATGAGGGAAGACAATTTTAAGTTCCTCTCAAGTCCCTTGACATGTAATCCAGTTTTGTCAGATCCAACAAAGGGGTAAAAGCTTAAAAAAAAAAAAAAAAAAACTTTACCTTGATCGTCTGGAAAACAACTACCTGGTACTGTAATAATGATTTGAAAAGAATTTTTTTTTTTTTTTTTTTGGTTATTATAAATCTTGATCTCTTTTTTTTGATCCTGTGGTAAGTCAACATTTGGGGCAATCACACTTATTTTTTTGAATGGTTGCTTCTGGGACTCTCTATTCCTTGCTATGAACTGCAGTGGTCTTTTTCACTTAGGTAATTTAAGTTGTCATCTTTTGATGAATTTATTTAAAGCTAAAAACTTTTTCCTTTTCTTCTGTGAAGAAAAAATTATGGTTAAATGTAATGATTCATACAGGACACTGTCAGAAAACCAATTTAACAATGAATTGACTATAATGCAGTCTCTTTATGTTTAAAGTTTATAACTGTGATATTTATTTATTGCAGGATGTAATTAAAACCATTGTACAGAGTGGTGGCATCAAACATCTAGTTACCATGGCAACTAGTGAACATGTAATAATGCAGAATGAAGCCCTTGTTGCTTTGGCACTAATAGCAGCTTTAGAGTTGGGTAAGTACCCCAGTGTCTAACTTATTTTCTCCTATTTTTATCTTGGATGAAATGAAGCACAGGAGTGGAATAGAAATCAACAAAACCTTGACTAGAAGCATTTTGCCAGCATGTGTCTGCACCTGTAGCTAAGTATATAAGAAATCACATTCCATAGATTGCCACCTCGGTTTTTGCTTTTGGTAACATTTTTAGGTCAATGCTTAACTCTTTTTAGAGTTTGAGTCTTAAATGTTATTTCAAGTTATAGGCACTTAGTAAACACAGAAAATAATTTCAGCAGGCCTAACAGAAATGAAACTGTATTTAGAATACAGCAGCAAGTTTAGTCTGCTGCCCTTCCAGTGACTCAGACCTTGTCTTCCATCTCTATTACTGACTCTCTCTCTTGCTCTTATCTCCTATCACCATGGCTTCTAGTGCCCTCTAGTATTGCCCTCATTCTAAATTCTCACCTTCTGTGTGTTTTACATTCAAAATTCCCCAAAAGCAGAGTTCAGTAATTCAGTTGGTGTCTTTCTAGCATATAGTATCCCCATTGGTCAGAATTCTTCTTGAGAAGCTAGTTCAAAGTCATCTAGCTTATGGATAGTAACCTTTGTCCCAGGAACCAATCAGTCACACAGCCTGTGGTTAAGGCCTGAGACTGCCTTACACAAAGGAGGACTATAGACTTAGTAGGTCTGTCCTGTCCAGTTCAAAGCCATTTAGGTAAACACTGTTAACTGATGAGTTCCTAATTCCCACTGATGATTTAGGTCCATAATTCTCACACAGGCACGTGGACCCACAACCCCTATACCACGAAGCCAAAAGATAAACACATAAACATGGTATATCTTTCCCTAGTGTCACATTTACTCAGATTTTAGGTATGAAAGATTTGAATTTTTGTCTTAAAGGGTTTTGAATTTTAAAACAATTTTTAAAAAATCACAGGTATAAGTAGGATATAAAATTTTTTTGAATTTTAAAGATAAAAGACTCTAAGAAAATGTATGCTTATTCTCAGTGACTTTGGCCTATAGTTAGAAATGCTTTGGAAGTCAGTTTAGGTCCCAGATTAGCCATGACTTCACACATGGTTTGAGTAGAGTCAGCCTAGAAGTCCAGCCATCATGGGGGGGTCAGATAGGGGGAGTTGTGATAAAGGGGCGGGAGTCAGTGAGGACACTGAATACCAAACTGGGTTCATGGCCTGATTTTAAGTGGCTTAAAGTGATGGGGCAGTTTCAGAATATGCTTGATGACCCAGCCTGGGATGAATCTGGTTTTCTGCCAATATCTTCCAAACAAGCTATAATTTCATCAGCTTCCTGATAGCTAAACATTTGCCTCAATCTCGTCACCTCACCATACAACTATATAAAATGCGATACCTACTTTTTTTTTAATTGTTTCCTAGTGTTTCCTAGGCTCCTTGGGCTTAAGATATAAAAATAAGACCACACTATCTTTTTAATACATAACACACTTTGAAAACCGTATTTTTCCAGTCTTGTTTTCTTATAGACTGTTTGATATTAAGGAATTATAAATTTTTTGTATGATAATAGTATTAAAGCAGCATTTTTAAGAGTCTTTTTTTTTTTTTTAGATAATTGTATATTCACATGCCGTTGTAAAAAATAACATAGAGATCCCTTGTATATATTACCCAGTTTCTCCCAGTGGTAACATTTTTCAAAACTATAAATATTTCAGCTATTGATATAACTTACCAGTCTTATTCAGATTTCCCTAGTTTTACTTGTTCTCATTTGTGTGTATGTTAAGTTCTATATAGTTTTAGGACGTGTAGGTTTGTGTATCGACCACCACATTCAAGAAACTAAATAGTTTAACACCACAGGGATCCCTCCATTTATCACCACACTAGTCACCTACCTCCTCCTCCTACCCCTTACCTTGTTTCTCATCCCTGGAAACCACTAATCTGCCCTTCATTTCTAAAATGTTATATATATGGAATCATATAGTATGTGACCTTTTGGGATTGGCTTCCTTAATTCAGCATAATTTCCTAAAGAGATCTGATTTGTTTTGTGTGTCAGTTGTTTTTTTATTGAATAGTGTTCCATGGTTTGTACATACCACAGTTTGTTTGACCATTCCTGTCAAAAAACATCTGGGCTTATTCTACTTTGGGGCTTTTAAAAATAAATAAATGCTATAAATATTCATACATAGGTTTTTATGTGAGCATAAATTTTCATTTCTTTGAATAATAAATGCCTAGGAGTGCAGTTGCTAGGTTGTGTGGTAACTATATGTTTAATTTTTAAAGAAACTGTCAAACTGTTTTCCAGAATGGCTATACCATTTTACATTCCCACTAGCACTGTATGAGTGATCTAGTTTTCTCCACATTTTCACCAAATATTTGGTATTGTCACTGTTTTTTATTTTAGCCACCCTGATAGCTGTACAGGGATATCTCATTATGTTTTTTTCCATTTTTCTAATGGTAAGCATATGAAAAGATGTTCATCATTATTTGCCATCTGTATATATTCTTTGATGAATTACCTATGGATAATTTTTGCTCATTTTCTAATTTTTTAACTATTGAGTTGAAAATTCTTTATTCTAGAACTTTTATAGTTTTACATTTTATACTTAAATCTGTAATCCACTTTAAGATCTGGATAAAGTGTGTGGTTTAGGTCAACTTTTTTTTTTTTTGCCTGTGGAGGTCTCATTGCCAGTACTGTTTGTTGAAGAGGCTATCTTTTCCTCCACTGAATTGCTTTTGTACCTTTGTCAAAAATCATTTGAACGTATATGTGTGGGTCTATTTCTGGGGTTCTCTATTCAATTCTCTCTCTACCAGTACCACACTCTTGATAACTGTGCTATACAGTGAACCTTAACATCGGGTAGAATTCCTCCCACTTTCTTTTTTATCGAGATTATTTACCTGTTCTAGGGCCTGTGCTTTCCATATAAATTTTAGTATAAACTTACAGATTTTCTACAGAAAATCCTCTGGGATTTTGATAGGAATTGCCTTAAGAGTTTTCATCTCTTAAAGATACATACTGAGGGGTGCCTGGGTGGCTCAGTCGTTAAGCGTCTGCCTTCAGCTCAGGTCATGATCCCAGGGTCCTGAGATCGAGTCCCGCATCAGACTCCTTGCTCAGCGGGGAGTCTAGTTCTCCCTCTGCCCCTGCTTGTGTCCCCTCTCTCACTCTGTCTCTCTCTGTTGAATAAATAAATAAAATCTTTAAAAAAAAAAAAAGATAAAGGGCGCCTGGGTGGCTCAGTTGGTTAAGCCACTGCCTTCGGCTCAGGTCATGATCCTGGAGTCCCGGGATCGAGTCCCGCATCGGGCTCCCTGCTGAGCGGGGAGTCTGCTTCTCCCTCTGACCCTCTTCCCTCTCATGCTCTCTGTCTCTCATTCTCCCTCTCTCAAATAAATAAATAAAATCTTTAAAAATAAAAAAATAAAAAAATAAAAAAAATAAAAAAAATAAAAATAAAAAAAAAAAGATACATACTGAAATACATATGGAAGAAACTATGTTATTTTTAGGATTTGCTCCAAAATAATTTGAGATGAACAGGTGAATGAAACTAGAGATAGATGAAACAAGATTGGCCATAATTTTTTAAGATAATAGTAAATAATGTATTATATAATCTTTTCTGCTTTTGCATATGTTTAACCTTTTCCATAAGGATTTTTTAATTGCCTCATATCAAAAGGAATATTTTAATACTAAATTTTAAGCTTAAACTGTAATATCTGCTGAAATTTAACTCTTCTTTAATAAGGTCTGAATTTAATATTCTATTTGTAGGTCATCGTTATTTATCAGTCCCTTTTGGAGGGTTTTATATGATCAGTTTTTAGAAAAGGAATCAGTGTTTAGCCACATTGCACCAGGTTCATAAACAGTGGACAAAACTGATACTTTCTTTCATATTTTAGGCACTGCCGAGAAAGATCTAGAAAGTGCTAAACTTGTACAGATTTTACACAGACTGCTAGCAGATGAAAGAAGTGCTCCTGAAATCAAATATAATTCCATGGTCCTGATTTGTGCTCTCATGGGATCTGGTAAGCATTTCTTCTAAAATTTGAGGTCTATCAATATATGGTTGACATTAAATATAGAATAGTAGTAAATGGTGGCTTTGGGTTTTAAAAGCATTAGAAATTAGTTTCTGGAGGATACAGGATTACTTTTACTTGAAAATATTCGCAAAAGATTCTCACAATAATAATATAAGTATCATGGGGCACCTGGGAGGGCTCAGTCAGTTGTCCGTCCAACTCTTGATTTCAGCTCAGATCGTGATCTCCAGGTCATGAGATCGAGCCCTGCGTCGGGCTCCAAACTCAGCACAGAGTCTGCTTGAGAGTCTCTCTTTCCCTCCCCCCTGCTCACATACTCTCGCTCTCGCTAAAATAAAACAAAAAATCTTAAAAATATCATATAGAAAATAGACAAAAAAATATTTTAAAATTAATAACTAAGATTCAACTCTAAAATATTTTATATAAAGAACAAATTCTGATTTTGTGTATCACGATATTAGCTAAGGAATTTGTTCAAGAAATCATTGGCATATTTTGGCATTATATTCCATGGATACTGAAAAGAATGTGTATTCTACTGTTACTGAGTGAAGTGTTCTTGAAATGTCACTTAGATCCTTTTGGTTGTTGGTAATGGAATTGAGTTTGCTATATTCTTAGCAAATAGAATATATTGATAGTCTGACTAATTGTTTTGTCAGTTGTTGAGACAGGGATATTGAAGTCTCCAATAATAATGGTGGATTTGTCTGTTTCTCCTTTTAGTTCTGTAAGTTTTTGCTTCACATATTTTGCAGCTCTTTTGGTAGATATATACACCTTTTGGATTGCTATTGTCTTCCTGGTGGATTGACTTTTCTTTCTATCATTATGTTCCTCTCTGGTGTGGTAACTTTTTTTCCTCTGAAGTCTACTTTATCTGATATTAATATAGCTGCTTCTACTTTCTTTTGAATAACATCCATAGGATCTTTTCCCACCCTTTTAATCTCAATCTGCTTTATCATTATACTTGAAGTGTAGAGAGCACCTTGTTAGGTCATGTGCTTTAATCCACTCTGTCTCTCTTAATTGGTGTATTTAGACCATTTACATTTAATGTAAGGACTGATGTTATGGCTTAAGTCTGCAGTTTCATTTTTTTATTTTGTTTCTCGTTCCTGACTTGTTATTGATTGCTTGAGCAATCATTACCCTCCCTCATTTATCTCAGATATTTCCTCTGTATACATTTAGAACCACATTAGACATTGTTACAATTTTTGTTTTCAACCATCTAACATAATTCAGAAAACTCGAGAGAAGGAAAGTCTGTCATATTTATCTACACTTTTGCTATATGGGTTGTTCTTCCTTCCTGATGTTCCCAGATTGCTTTTTTTAAACATTCCCTTTCTGTTTAGAGAACTTACTTTTAGCCACTCTTTTGGGTTAGGTCTGCTAGTGACAAATTGTTTTCTGTTATTTTAGAATATCTTGGCTTCCCCTTCATTTGTGAAAAATGTATTCTCTGGGTATAGAATTTTGGGTTGATGGTTCTTTTTCTTTCAACATTTGAAAAATATGCCATTTTCTTCTGGCTTCCATGGTTTCTTAAGAGAAATCCAGTCTTCCAGTTCTTTATTTTCCCCTCTTGGTAAGGTGTCACTTCAAGATTTTTTGGTCTTTAATTTTCAAGCTTGACTGTGATGTGTCATGGCATGGGTTTCTTTGGGTTCATCCTGTTTCAAGTTTGCTCACCTTCTTGAGTAGGTAGGCTTATGTCTTCTGCTAAATTTGGAAAGTTTTTGTAACCTTATTTCTTTAGGTACTTTTTCAGCCCCACCCTATTTCTCCTCTCCTTTCAGGTCTCTAATGGCAGGAATGTGAGATCTTTAGTTATATCCTACAGTCTCCTGACGTTTTGTTCATTTTTTTCCAGATTATCTCCTCTCTTGTTCAAATTACCCATCTTAAAGTTCACTGATTTCTTCTGTCCCCTCCATTCTCCTGTTGAGCTTATCCACTAACTATAGTTTTGAGTTCTAAAACTCCCATTTGCTACTTTTTTATGTCTTCTGTTTCCTGGCTGAGACTGTTATTGAGGCATTTTTTAATGTAAAATATACATAAAATTTACCATTATAACCATTTTTAAATGTACAGTTCAGTGGCAGAGTAGTACATTCACACTGCTGTACAACCATCACCACCCTTTTCTTCTCCCAAACTGAAACTCAGTACTCTTTAAAAAGAGTATATATCCATGGAATATATGCCAAAATATGCCAATCACCCATCCCTCCAGCTTTTGGCAGCCACCATTCTATCTTCTGTCTCTCTGAATTTGACTACTCTAGGTACCCTTTAATCATACAATATTCTTTTTTGTGTGGCTTATTTCACTTACCATAAGGTCTCCAGGGCTCATCCAAATAGTAGCCAGTGTCAGAATTTCATTCCTTCTTAAGGCTGAATAATGCCCCATTGTATGTATATATATCACATTTTGTTTATCCATTCATCCATCAATGGACATTGGGTTATTGTCACCTTTGGGCTATTGTAAATAAGGCCACTATGAAAATGTGGGTGCATAGGTATTTTTTCAGTTCCTGCTTTTAGTCATTTTTGGAATATACACACAAGTGGAATTGCTGGATCATACAGTAATGGCTTCATTTAATATTTTGAGGAATCACCATACTGTTTTTCACAGTAGCTACACCATATTACATTCCTACCAGTAATGTACATAGGTTCCAATTTCTCTACATCCTAACATTTTTTTTTTCTATAATAGCCATCCTAATGGGTATGAAGTGGTATCTTACTATGCTTTTGATTTGCATTTCCCTAATGATTAGTGATGTAGGGGATCTTTTCATGTGTTCATTGCCCACTTGTATACCTTCTTTGGGGAATGTCTATTCTAAAGTTCTTTGTCCATTTTTTAATCGAGTTATTTTGTTGAGTTGAAAGGTTCCTTATATTTTGGGGATATTAATCCCTGTTGGATATATGATTTACATATATTTTCTCCCATTTTGTGGGTTGCCTTTTCAGTCTATTGATAGTAATCTTTGGTACACAGAAGTTTCTAATTTTGATAAAGTCCTGTGTATCTGTTTTTCCTTGTGTTACCTATGTTTTTGATGCATATCCAAGATACAATTGCTAAATCCAAAGTTTTTCCTTTATATTTTAAGAGTCTTACAGTTTTAGCTCTTAACTGTAATTTTTGTACATAGGGGCTTATGGCTCTCCCATTTTACCAGCACCATTTGTTGAAAAAACTGTCCTTTCCTTATTGAATGTCAAATCTTTGTCAAAACTATTTTGACTGTATATATGAGGGTTTATTTCTGGGCTGTTTTATTCTGTTGATCTATAGATCTGTATTTCAGCACCACACTGTTTTGATTATTATAGCTTTAGAGTAGCTTTCGAAATTAGAAAGCATGAGTTGAGATTGTTTCGACTCTTAAGTCTCTTGAGAGTCCATCTGAATTTTAGGATGCAGTTTTCTGTTTCTACTAAAAACATTACTAGTTTTAGACCTCACAGTCTTATTAAAGTAAATATATCATCAGTTTGAGGAATGTTGATTGCATTAAACTTATTAGATGTCAGTCTTCTCATACAGCAGTCTCCAAGACTTAAGAGCCTGGTATTTTCCTGTAATTGAGGGTAAAGAAAGAGAGCAAGAAAGCCAGAAAGAGGAAGATCAGATATCTAAAAGGGAAGCCTATTGTCACAGAAATTTGTTGAAGGGATATGAAGTATAACCTGTTTCATTTGCCACAAAATTAATTTGAAACAGATCTAAGTTTTTTTTGTAAGTCATTGGACTTCATATTTGAACTGATGATAGATAGGGCCAAGGGGTATATAACTGAAACTTGAGATCATGCCATGAGCTGTGTTTCATTATAACTCATTACTCTAATCAAACTTAAACTGCAGAACTTGACATCTATATATAGATATGGCAAGTAAAGTTCCTCTGATTTATTATAACACAACTCTTACAAAGACATTTCTCGGCTACTGCTGTGTGTCCAGCACTTGTCTTTAAAAGTGTCTTAGCATTTCTAGACTGCTAGAGTTTTTCCAGGATTGTTCCTAGTTTTATAACTTGGTATCATCCAGATGAACATTTTAGGTATATATACTGGATAGATTGTATATTAAGATTAGAACAATCAGAACAGTAGCATATCTGTTATCTTGGTTTTTTGTTTTTTTGTTTTGTCTTCCAGAATCTCTACACAAGGAAGTACAGGATTTGGCCTTTCTAGATGTTGTATCCAAACTTCGCAGTCATGAGAACAAAAGTGTTGCCCAACAGGCCTCTCTCACAGAGCAGAGACTTACTGTGGACAGCTGAGAACAGCCCCTGCCTGATACATGGCATTATCCCACCTCTGATTTCCCCTTTGTCCTCCATCCAGCTGCCTCTTCTGCTTCATTTTCTTCCATATCACTTGTGCATGCGTGTAATGTTCCAGTACCAATTGAAGAACTGCTGTAGGTACCTGCCCAATAAGATTTCTAAACCCATAGTTAGTGTGAACATGAATTTGTCAAAAACAGGTCTCCACCCATAACTGTTCTCTTGTATTCCTGTTGCTTGAGCTACATTAAGTAGAATGTGCATGTTGTAGTCCTATGATGATGTAAACTTGGTACTACATAATGACTTGCTCCTCACATTTGGTAAACTACATAATAATGTACTGGTGAATTAGAAACAAACAAGAATGCAGCAGGATCTGTCTAGCTTATTAAGGATGGAACAGAATAGTAAAAATAGCACCATTTTTTGGTGCTTGGGAAGCACAGTGACCAAAAAACTGTATGGCTGCTCTTTCATTAGTCTTACCTACTAATGTCAAACCCATGGTACCTAGAGTTAAATAAAATCCAATGCTCTCACTCTTTACCCTATGGTTTCTCCTTCTTCCTAACTATGTAGACTCCTGAAACTGCCACAAACTTGGCAAGACTTCCCTGAGGCTTTTTAATTTCATATTTAATTGGCTGTCATCATTGAAACCTAACATTGAAATCATTTGTACTTTTCAGCATGAAACTAAGGGGTTGAAGAATCTGTGTTACACTAAGTAACATCTTTTTTGGCCTATATTTTAGAATCTATGTACATTTTGACATCAGCATTGTCCAACACCTGTCTTTAAAAGTTCACCTGGCATTTTTCAACTGAGGAAATTGAGTATAGCTCATTGGAGGGTGGGGTGGTTGGGTTTTTTGGGTTTTTGGCTATTTTTCATCATTCAGCTTGAAAGCAAGAAGTTTCCTCTGTCGTAGTCCTTTTAAATCTTATATTAGAACTAGCAGGACATAGGAAAAAAAGATTAAGAAAGAAGTTTGTCTATACTAAAGAAAGGAAGCAGGTTATAAAAGCCATAGTAGCCAGTCCAGTTCATTCTGCAGATGGCCTCATAGCAGTAGCTGTTTAGAGTTTCCCACCTCCACTTGCCACAGAGAACTGCAGTAGATCTTAAAGCTACCAGAAAAGGTGACGATGCCAAGACTCCAGAGATGAGAGGACCCTCTTGGCGAAATATAGTGTACTCTTCACTGCCACTGAGACCACCAAATGGGTTTTTAGAACTTTGAAACACAATCTTTGTAAAATAATCAAAGATCCCTGTAACCTACGTATCTTGTCCCCATGCACAAGTTTGACAAATACTGGCTGAAAGGTGTGATGGGCCCCGATATGGAAGGACTGCAGGACAGTAGAATGGGCTGCCCGGGGTGACAGGAGCTCTTTCCTCTTCAATGGGAGATGCTGCACATATCTGTGGGGTGATTGAAGTTGGACTTTTGACTCTGAAACAGCTATAATTGAATAAAATTAAAACCTCAGTGGAGGTAAAGAAACTTTGATTGATTGTTCCCTTTGATGTCCAGGAAAGGGACTATTATTGTGAGTGCTTATGCTACACTTACTGTAAGAATGATCTTGTTTATTGTCTTCTTCTGGGCTGGATAGTGGACTATATTTTATTATAGGTTTTGAAAAACATCTGTAATGTTGAATAGGCTGTCCATATTAATAACTAAATAAATAGTATATCAAACTGTAATGGCATCATTTGGTTTGTTTGTATATTTTACTTCTAATTCCCGCTCCTAGAACAGTGATTGCTCATTGTTGGTGCTCAGTAAGTATTTGTTGATGAATTCCCACCTATATAAACTTACAGACTCCCTAAACTAATCCTAGATAGATTGAAAGAGAAATGAGATTTAGATATTTGTCTGATTTCAGAGAATTTTTTTTTTATGGGATTGGTCCCTATTGAAAAATCATCATATAGAAAACCTCAGAACAGAGGTATCCAAAAATTAGAGATTTCAGAGAAGCCATCATATGGGCCAGCTACCAGCAATCAGTTGATATGCTAGGAATTCCCATCTCCAAAAAAACAAAGTACATATCTAATCACCACTTTTTCTGCAGAGAGACCAGAAGGCTATATGCCCTTATAACAACAGAGGTCCACCAAACTAGGTGATTTCCTGCTCTGCCATGGCAGGAGGTGGGAGTCTACAGACAATACTACTTGAACTGAGTTCTGGAGGCCACCTTGAAATTAGTTTGCTACCCACTAAGAATGCTTTCTGAGGGAGAGAATGGGAGGAACTGTACAGCATAGCTTTAATTATCACTATGTGTCAGGATTAGAACATAGCTGAAAAGCAAAAAGGCCGAGAATTAGAAGGAAGATGTCTCAGTGAAAGGCACTAAAATGTCTTCCCTCCCTTCTGGGAAGGAAGCCCATTCACTCCTTGGGATCTTGCTAACCAGCCTGCAGACTGTAACCTCATTGTGCTCAAAGCAAAATTGATTAAATGCTGGCCCATAATCCAGTGTTTTCAACTTGATAAAACATGGTTTGTATATGTTATAACCATAGAGATGTAGACAAAATTTTTTAGTTCTAAAATGATTTTGTCTTAGATGGAACAAAATGCAGCTCTTAGATATAACCATTTGTGTGAAGTATTCTGAGAAACCCTGCATGTGAAGATTTCAAAAAGAAATGCTCTTTGGTATCATTAGGAAGGTTATCGTCTTAATTCTGCTGAATATAAGGGTTGAAGATATCTATCACTTAGGTAAGTATTCCCCCTTTGTATTCAGCTGTTACTAGAATCATTAAGCTTAAAAGTCTTAACTCTAGGAAACCATAATATTTGGATTACACAAGTGTCTATTAAAGAGCACTTAATGATAAACTTAATAGCTGTAACCAGGAAAATTGAGGGTTTTTTTCCACAGATGTGCTCTCTTAATTTACCTACATACAATACATAATTATATGCCATGTAGCTTCATAGATAGATGTTTTATAGGGGTGTCTGACAGATGTGAAAACTATTTTAAGTGTGATTAGTGAAAAGAGTAAGGTCTTTAAATACTGTGTGACCTGAGGTCACATCCTGGTTCTGTTAACGTACTGGCTGTGTGACCATCACGGAGTTACTTAAATTCTCTGAGCCTGCTTTCTTATCAATGTGATGAGTTTAATAATCCCTACTTCCCAGATTTTGTGGGGTAACTGAAACTTCCAGAGGTTGAAGGTAAGATTGGATAGAACTATGATACCTGTGACATCTTATGGCCTATCCCTCTTCCCTCTGGAGGGTTCCCAGCTAAAGGAACTCAAAGAACAGCCAAATGGGAGATATTTTCTATTAATAGTTTGAGGAGCACCCAGTTATTCTCAGTGCAGAATGCGTAACCCCTTGCTTCCTACCCCTGAAACTGTGATGGCCAGGTCTGCAAAGTAGGCCTTGGAAGTAGGTCCCCACTACAGGACTTCCTCTTCCTGTTCAGACCTCTCTCTAAAGTGGGAGTAACAGTAGTAGTGCAATGATCTTAGCTTTTATTAATATTACTAAGTCAATATAAATAAAGCTGTAGTACTACAAGTTCTCCTCAATATAGAAACAAAATGATCCCTCTTCCCCTTTTCAATGCTGCCCAACTCATCAGTATATATACATTTTATATACATACCTGTTCATGTATGTCTTTTTCTTAAATATCAATGGTGTGTGTTTTGCATGAGAGCTTTTGGTAGCTGTGCTCTGAATCCTGATAGAATCCACTTAGGATGGCCTATTTATCATTATACTTCTTGACTAGACAGAGTCCCTTCATGTTGGAGGTTTCCAAGAGTAAGCTGTTCCTTTTAGGTCATGAATGGTCGGCTACAGTTTTTGAAGGAAAAAAGCCTCGCATGGAATTTATGCTCTTTTTTAAATTTAATTTCTTATTCTTTCCTTCTTAGTGGACTTTTAAAAATTCATTATTTCCTTACTCTGTTTCTTCCTAGAAAACAAACAAACCAAAACTTTTTAGCCATGACACATTCGAACATTTTAAAAATGGTCAGTACATATATACCTATTTGTAGTACTAGATAAATAGAAACTTAGTATGCTGACAATTCATTCAAATATTGACGCCTGTGGTTCTCCTGACATTTGTTCTCAGTCCCTGAAGTCACATTTATCCAAAGAGAGATATAGAGCCTCCCACTTAGCAAAATGAAGGACCAGGGTGATGTTAGGAGCAGCGACTATTCTCACAAGTGACTTCACTGTCGCTTTCTCTGGCCCCCAGCATTATCAATGCAGCTTTCAGGGAGTAAAAACCGGAGCAAGCAAGGTGGCTAAAGCATGGAAATGGGGGCTCAAAGGAGGTTTGAATCAAAAAAACAAACTTGGCTTTCACCTTCACCCCTGACCTCCGAACACATTCTTAGAACTTGTCCATGGCTCAGAGATATGTGGTTTTGCTCATAGGCATGTGTGCAATTTTATTTTACTCTGTTTAGCCCAATTGAGTTAAAACCACATTCAGGTGGTATGTGGAACTTGGTTTTTAGTTGGTGTTGGTCACAGAGAATTTTCTGTTTCAGGATTAGGTTTTCAGAAATTTAGCTAAATTTGTTTTATCTTCATCAAGGAAGTGTAAAGCCTAATCCTGTCATACTTTGAAACCTGTTAGTTTCATATTTAAGATTTTTTTTTAAGGAAATAATTTTAAAGATCTTTACTAGATCTCTGTTAAAATAAAAAATTTAAAGCCTTAACACAGACTCCTAGCATCCGAACTTTAAATGTAACAATAGATCTTTTAAAAATACATGTAATCTATTTTCATATATAACTGAGAGACATTACTTACTATTGCAGTAGTTACTTTGTTATTTATCAATTCCCAAGAATCCTGAAGAATCTTGAAGGAAAGAAATTCTGGCTGTACCTTCAGATTACTGTCAAAAATAAATTCCTCTGTGGATGCTCACTTTGAATTTTATAACCATCTCTATTTTAAAATAGGCCTCCCTTCTACCAAAATAGTGTTTTCCTTGGTTGGTTTTTAAGGGACTGCCATATAAATAGAGCCAAGCCTGTAGGGAAGCTGGCTTCGTCCCTGCCTTCACAGAGTTCATGCACTCAGGTGAACAACCCCTTCTCCTTTTAGGACATTTCACAGGACTCTTCCAAGGTCAGCATCACCTTTCACCAGGACCAGAGAAAGCCAGCTTTTGACCTTGTCTTCTCTTCAGGGATATTCTGCTCAGCTTCTTGGTTCTCAGTCCCTTTCCCATGTCTAGCATAGGCACATCAGATGAATACCTATAATTACATAGAATTTACGAAGGAGGGAAAGGTTGAATTACACTCTAAGATAATATAAAGGCATGTAGGTTGCAACCCAACAGCCGAAGATAAAGAGCTGCCCTAATCAGGGTGAACAATGGGGAGGAAATATTAACCAGAGTAGCTTTTATTTCAGACCCATCTCTGAAGGAATACAAAATAGTCCCTATTTTCAATTGGGGCCAACTATCAGTATAGAAGTCCTTTACCCCACCTTCCCTTTTTTTAAGGTTCAGGAATGCAACCCACTCCCCCACTACACCTTTCCTACAATAACTTCCTTTTTCTTGCAGGTAAGGAAATACCACTCTTAACCCACACCACCCAACCCCCAGTGCCCAGAAGTTAGAGGAAGTGACACAGCAGAGTGACCACTGGGCTTCACTGTATCCCATACTAACACCTGTTAAATCCTCTGCTTCCCGCTCCTGCCTCTTGCCCCTTGTTCCCCTAGCAGGGTGGCTGTGAGAGGCAGCGCCTTCCCCCAAGCCGTGAGAAGTGGGAGCAAGGTGTGCACTGGCCTAAGAAAAGCATCTGAAGAAAAGATGTTATCGGTACAGGAGTGTCCGTAACCGGATTTGACAGTCCCTTACCCCCTAAAATGCAGGCTTTGTTAAACCTGGGACTGAGGGCTGATGCTCAGTTTCGGAGTGAGATTCTGGCACACTCTCCCACAGCAAGTGCCCTGTGTGTGTGTGCACACTGTGCACTGTTCAAGTGTTCTGCCACATGTAGCTACATCCTCTCCACTTATATAAGTGTTGTTCACATTACTAATTATTTCACAAACCTCACTTTTAATGGCCGCATATTCTTCAGTTACAGTAGATGCACCATAATTTACTTAACCATTTTCCCACATTTGAGCACTTAAGACATATTTTGATTTTTGAAAAACAAACCAAATGCAAAATTGTGAGCATTTGCAGATGCTAGAGTAGTTCTTAGAAATTATCTGACCTGTCAGTCCCTGCCATTCGACTTTCTGCCTCTAATTCCTCTCGCTTTCTTCTTCAGAGGTCCTTGTCAGTTGTTCAGTGAGCCTCTTTGCCCCCTCCTGGTTCCACTTGTCCTTTCTTCACCTCCTGGACACTCCTGGCTCCTGCCAAGCACTCCTTCATCTCCTAAGGGGACCCACTGCCCAGGGGAAGAGGGGCCACGAGGGAGGAGTGGCAACACCTCCCTCCTGGGCATCCAGGCAGGAAGTCAGGGTGACCCACTTGCCACTGACCACCACCCCCTCACCCAATGTATCAGAGTGGGCCTCCTACAAAGAGGAGGTGAACACACCTTCAAGCCCCACTGGAGCTGGTGTTTAGCTAATGGGAATCTAATTGCCTCTTAGCACTGTCATCAACTGCTCCCAGCACTTCTGCACCTCTTACCAAGCCTGTGAGCCACCACT